ACCTTTGCAACTGCTCCCGCCTCTGATGCCGATCTCGTTACCATCTCTGTCGCTGATCCTTCTAGCTCCGCCACTGTCTCCACCACCTCTGCAATCGCTCCTGCCTCCACGACCATGTTGCCATTGCATTCTGTCAGGCATAATTCTAGCAGAACTTTTGTTGTAGGCTTGGCACCTGTCGGATCTTTCAAAAATCCTACCACCCCACTCTTTACTGACAGCGAGTAGGTGGGGTCTTGGCTTCTATCAGCCGACGGATTCGGCACAAGAGAACGTTCAGGTGAAGAGATAAAAGCCAAGCACTGTTAGAGCTGGAACAAGAGAAAGTTCAAGCAGGGAACCAAGGACTGCAGATCCGCTGAAGCTCTTCATCATCGCCATCTCTGAAAAGCAAAACAGAGAGAGAAGAGATAAAGAGAAACACAGGGAGGGAGGAAACTCTGGTTTGACAAGAAGGGTCTCCAAAGGTTTTAAAGAGGAAGGGATGACCTTTTCTGCTACTTTTCTGTGAGAACCTATAGATTTCTCAAGCGGATTATGGAGTGCACCGCTATTCTGCCACTAAGTGTCATAAGGAAGAAGATGAATAGTGTTTAAGCTGCGACAATGCTATTTTAGTAAAAATAAATGCACATTAATCTGTAAAAGTGTAAAATAGGTATTTTAAAAAAAAAATCATCTCTTTAACGTTTTTCGTGTTGGTCATTGACGGAACGGAGATATTTGTTGATTTTTTCAAAAATAAAGGAAAAGTTTTTGTTAAAATGAGATTATAAGGGAGGCTTTTATGATTATCAGAGAGATTTTTGTATTTTACCCTACACTATATATGAAATTGCTCAATTACGCTTGGGCTTACCACCGCTTACACCGATGTGGGTGGTCTTCCATGAAAATGGGGAACGTGGTCATTTATTGGTGAAAGAGCATCTGTGACTCATTTTTAATGAATTTTACCCGATGGTTAGTTACTGGGCCCACTTGACTGTTGCCATTGATGAAGAATTGAATATTGTTAGCTTTACAAGTTTGGAAAATTTATTTTTGAATAATGGAATATAACTACCGACTAGCGGTAGGTTTTGAACTTTAAAAATGTGAAGAAGAGATGGCGATTTGATAAGATCTCAGAAGTCAGAACCCCACCTCACTCGTTGCTACTCCCCTTTTTATTTTTTGCCCTGATGATTTTGTTCCTCGCTTTTTACAGTCTTTTTAAGTGGCATGTTTGTAGGGCTTAACTTGGTTCAACTGCTTTAAAGAAGGCAAGAAGCTACCGGAAGGGTTTGCGTGGAGAGCCATGAACAAAGGTTGGAACTCGTAGCCGTCAAAGGGAGAGTACATTGGGGACACTTTGATCAATAAAAAGACCTGATGTTTGTACTGTTATGCTTTGATTGATTGGGTTTTGCTACTTGAGTTTTGGTAACACTCCCACTTCCTGCCTAAGGCATAATCCCCTAAAGCATTTCATACTCCTCAAACTGTAACAAGACAAAGGTAGGCCTCCTGCAGCAAATCAAACCTTGCATGTTGCATCTGCACAAGGTGAAGCTCTCCTCCACAAAGATCCCAATTAAAGCGTGCTGTCATTGAAAAGAAATTTCATTTTAGACATACCTTGGGTTATGTTTGGCACAATTGCTGTTTCTATCTGAAATATTTTAAGGTTGATCAATAAGGCGATTGCCTATTTAGTACTAACCTTACAATCCTCCTTATAAGACGAAACCCAACGATCTATTAGGTGATTGCCAGAACAAATATTAGGATACTATCACCAGGGTAAATTGCTGAAACCTTCCATTTGTTAATGGCAGTCCCCAAGTTCATGATACTGCTGCATCTACGCTTCTAGAAAAGGAAAGGGATCAAATTTAGTAGGCACAATATAGTAAGTACATTTAATGAGAATTTGATAAATAATCTGACAACTGTCATAATTGGTTTTTAATTTTTTCAAAAGCAGAGTGGGGCCTGGGGGTATTTCAAAGGACAAGTGTCAAAAAATTTTCTAAATGATCATTGAAGTTGCTTACAACTTTGTACCTACCTGATCGGGACTGCCAAGGAAACGCTGATGTCAAGTTCTTCACACTTTTAAATGTCAAATTTGCCCCTCAACGCTGGTGGCATTAATGATTCAGCATATAAAGTTTGGATTTGGGGCCACATGAAACTCCCATACGACGCAGCATGCTTATGGAGGATGAAGACCATGACAATGGTGGGTTCCAATTCAAACCAATGACAAAGCTAGACTACCAGTGCCACCAGCGCAAGTTAGACACAAGGCTTGTTTATTTTTTTAATATTTTAAAAAATCGATTTGAAGGTTGAATCATTTTTGCCTATGGGTGATGGGTCATTGGTTTGACCATTCAAGTGGAAGGGGTATTGCATTGTTTGATCTTTGAAGTCTAAAGATCTTCACATCTTCTTAGTTATATATGGAGTAAGAGACATTTGATTTTGAAGCCTGAAGTCTGAAGCTGCAACTATGGATTATAGGACGTGCGGTGAAGTATTTTGATCAATAAAACTCTATCTATACTTGTAGTTCCTCCCATGAGATTTTGAACAATTTGGGTAGTGAGTGTGCTGTTACTAGTAAGAGTTCTGTTTGGTTGATAGAATCCTTTGAATTTACAGGTTTTATATATTCTTCTTCTGATGATGAATAAATTCTCTCTTATGATGTGCTGAAAGTGTGGTTCATGGTCCTTTCTTCTTCTTTTTGAAGTGTTCAATACGATAGTTGGTGGGTGACGACCCTTTCAAGTGGGTGATGGGTGTAGTTTAGGTATAGCAGCAGGGGTTTTTGAAGTTTAATGTAGCTCACTTTGATAGGAAAGAGTGGAAAGAAGATTTGATGTTTACAATTTTATGTTTGGATCTTGAATCCCTGATCGATGTCACCATTGCATCAACACACAAATTACCCTTTGCCACCTGGGTTGGGGTGCACTTGATTGCTATAAACCAACCAACCACGTTAAGACTATGAACAGTGATGTTCTAGATTCATACTTGCAATTCCATTAATAATTGCCAAAAAAACTCCTGTGTGAACAGTAGTGTTCCAGCACTGTGAAACTTCATTAGTGCACAAGGGTCTTGGGACCATTTATAAAGGCAAATTTGGCATTTAGAAAAGTTAAGAACATAAAATCAGTGTATTTTATTACCTTTTTAATGTAAGGGGTGTAGATGCAACAGTGTCAGAAAGTTGCAGGAAAGGTTTCACCAACTGTCAGAAACTTCAGAGGAGGAGGTTTCGACAATTCTCCATGCTTACCTGACTGACTGATTCATCAATGATTTTTGGAAATATTTTTCTCTTCTGTTACGCGCCACTTTTCTCTCATACCTGTTACTTATCTAATTTCCTTTTGGGGATCATTTTACAACTTAGTAAGGGACAGGTAGGAAAACAAAAAAAGAAGACAAGAGTTTAGAGTTGTTGCAAATTAGGACTGCAAATGGATCGAATCATGCAAAATCCAAATTTGAATCATTTATATCCAAATTTTAAAAAAATGGATCTTATCATTTGGATCATAATCAGATATTAAAATAGGCAAATTGATCACTGTCCTCTGAAGCAGCACCACAGAGACAGCAAGATGGATGAATATGGGAGTAATGCTTGTGGAGCTAGCTCCCTCGGCAGTAGCAAAAGCAATGCGTGAGACAAACAACACCAAAGGAAACAATGAACTTCTTCCACGTCAGAGTCAATGGCCAAGCCAATTGGCTTGACAAAGAAGAGCTAGGGGGTGTCTGGCTGTCTGCACTCTGCAGACTGCAGTGAGCGTGAGGTAATTAAGCTGAAGCAGGGTCTTAGTCCAAACCAGAAATTCATCTATCTCAGGGGAGTGATTACTGATTAGGAAGTGGAGTGGATTCGACTTTACTGCATGACTGAGCATCAAAGAATTCAGTCAACCCATGAATTTATGGATGGATTGATAAAGTAGGCCACCTTGAGATTTGGACAGTCTGAACTGATGAATGAGCTAAAGGTCTCATTTGTTTTTCAGCAAGTTACTTACCCGGATAAATATAGTTATCTGGGTAAGTTTTTCCTGGGAAACACTTACTCGGGTAAGTGTATTTACGCATGTTCTTTTATTTCTCATGTTTATAAGGCAATGACCATTTTAGTCATAAAAATCCATTACTAAAAAAGGCATTCTTGTTCTATTCAAGT